TACTCTACAAGAGCCATACATCCCAGCATCTTGTACTCTACAAGAGCCATACATCCCTGTTTCTTGTACTCTACAAGAGCCATACATCCCAGCATCTTGTACTCTACAAGAGCCATACATCCCTGTTTCTTGTACTCTACAAGAGCCATACATCCCAGCATCTTGTACTCTACAAGAGCCATACATCCCAGCATCTTGTACTCTACAAGAGCCATACATCCCTGTTTCTTGTACTCTACAAGAGCCATACATCCCAGCATCTTGTACTCTACAAGAGCCATACATCCCTGTTTCTTGTACTCTACAAGAGACACACATCCCAGCATCTTGTACTCTACAAGAGCCATACATCCCTGTTTCTTGTACTCTACAAGAGCCATACATTCCAGCATCTTGTACTCTACAAGAGCCATACATCCCTGTTTCTTGTACTCTACAAGAGCCATACATCCCAGCATCTTGTACTCTACAAGAGCCATACATCCCTGTTTCTTGTACTCTACAAGAGCCACATATCCCAGCATCTTGTACTCTACAAGAGCCATACATCCCTGTTTCTTGTACTCTACAAGAGCCATACATCCCAGCATCTTGTACTCTACAAGAGCCATACATCCCTGTTTCTTGTACTCTACAAGAGCCACATATCCCAGCATCTTGTACTCTACAAGAGCCATACATCCCTGTTTCTTGTACTCTACAAGAGCCATACATCCCAGCATCTTGTACTCTACAAGAGCCATACATCCCTGTTTCTTGTACTCTACAAGAGCCATACATCCCAGCATCTTGTACTCTACAAGAGCCATACATCCCTGTTTCTTGTACTCTACAAGAGCCATACATCCCAGCATCTAGTACTCTACAAGAGCTACACATCCCTGTTTCTTGTACTCTACAAGAGCCACACATCCCAGCATCTTGTACTCTACAAGAGCCATACATCCCTGTTTCTTGTACTCTACAAGAGCCACACATCCCAACATCTTGTACTATACAACAGCCCTACATCCCAACACAACATCTTGTACTCTACAAGAGCCATACATCCCAGCATCTTGTACTCTACAAAAGCCACACATCCCAGCATCTTGTACTCTACAAGAGCCATACATCCCAGCATCTTGTACTCTACAAGAGCCATACATCCCTGTTTCTTGTACTCTACAAGTCATACATCCCTGTTTCTAGTACTCTACAAGAGCCATACATCCCAGCATCTTGTACTCTACAAAAGCCACACATCCCAGCATCTTGTACTCTACAAGAGCCATACATCCCAGCATCTTGTACTTTACAAGAGCCATACATCCCTGTTTCTTGTACTCTACAAGAGCCATACATCCCTGTTTCTAGTACTCTACAAGAGCCATACATCCCAGTATCTTGTACTCTACAAGAGCCATACATCCCTGTTTCTTGTACTCTACAAGAGCCATACATCCCAACATCTTGTACTATACAACAGCCCTACATCCCAACACAACATCTTGTACTCTACAAGAGCCATACATCCCAGCATCTTGTACTCTACAAGAGCCCTACATCCCAACACAACATCTTGTACTCTACAAGAGCCATACATCCCAGCATCTTGTACTCTACAAAAGCCATACATCCCAGCATCTTGTACTCTACAAGAGCCATACATCCCTGTTTCTTGTACTCTACAAGAGCCACACATCCCAACATCTTGTACTATACAACAGCCCTACATCCCAACATCTTGTACTCAACAAGAACCATACATCCCAACATCTTGTACTCAACAAGAACCATACATCCCAGCATCTCGTACTCTACCAACCAAAAGCATTATAAGACTAAGTGCATCATTAACAAAATTTGTTGCTGTATCAGTCGGAAGCATTCACTCTACACGGTAAGTTAACCGAGAACTGTGAACAAACTTGAAGTACTGTGCTGTATTTGCTGTCATAAGTATTATAGAATTATTTAAAAATAAAAAATAAAAATGTACCTAGAAAATGATAACAAATGTCATGAATAAATATAAAACAAATTTTTGTGTTATAAAACAGTTCTAGAGAAGTGACTGATAATACAAGTTTAATACCACTTTAAAACCCTTGATCTTGGGAGTCATTTTTTAACGGAGATTCACATAACAAATAAAAGTACATCACACAGATTCTATGATTAACAATTTGATATAACCAACTGCTTAATGCATAAACAATATTTATTTTTCTTCAGCAATGATCGGGTCAAATATCAAATATAAAAATCATCGTCTGAGTTAATCCCAGCGATCCTCTTGATCCGAGGCCAGGAATATTTCCAACATGAACTGTGATATACTTTGCATGGCATGAAGAACAATGGCCAACACTATACTGAGTGACAGCTGCACATACTTGATTTCTACCAGCTCTTGTGAAGGAGTACCATTGGAAGAAAGCATGGAATCATTTGAAGGACTTGGCTCACTAGATCCTCCATCTTGACATGCTGGTGTTTCAACCAGAGTAGAAGGTTCAGCACTTGCAGGTGAATCTAATGAGGATGAACCCAAGTCACTTAATGCCTCTGGCATCTCATGGCATAGTGCAGGATGCCCTAACTCCAGCACATCCCCAGGCATTATCTGCTGCATTTCTAAGTCTGATAATGGGCTGTCTTCTGCTAGTTTAGGCACCCCAACTATTTCTGATGATATACTCAAATAGTCTGGGGTGTCATCACCAGGATTCTTTGGTAATGGTGCATCACTTAGTGCATGAATGAGGTTGGTCAACTCGGAGCAGATACTATAATATTCAGTATTGTCGTCGGCCACAGTTTGTGGAGTAGCAAGCTCTGACATAGTATCAGCAGGTGTGGCAAGACTAGATGGTACTCTATTGGAAGAATTACATATGTCTGATAAAGAATCTTTCTGAATATCAGATTGCGGTGAAGTAATCTTCCTTGACAGCTTTTCACCAATTGTAGAACATTCATCATTACAGGCAGAATTCACAGATACTGTAGTTTCTGTTTCATAGCCTGTGTCAGTAGAAAATGTGCTGGTAATCATGCTGGAGTCCATTTCATCAAAAGACAAAGGAGTCACAATGGGTTTACTTGCTTGTGTTTTGCATGAGGGAGCTCTCACTACTGATGCAAATTCACCAAGGGCTTTAGTTGGAGAAACTTTTATGTCTTGCAACACTTGTGGCAAGGACTGACTTTGAGAATGAGAAGACACAGGAAGAAAATCATCAACTGCCCACACATCATCGTCTAAACTCCTAATTTTGCTCTCTTCTCTTCTTAAAGTCTCCTTGCATGATATTATTGGAAGAGACTTCTGCTGTCTTGGTAGAGCTTCTCTTGTACTAGCAGATTTATACTTCTTTGGTGATCTGTGCTTAATTTTAGGGGAGCTTTTCTTTTTCTTTGGTGAATTAACCACATTAAAAGGATGAACCTTAGGTCGAACAGAAATCAATGCAGAATCACTTTCTTTCTCAGTGCTGGGAGACTTGGGAAGATTGTCATGAACATCTGGGTGACACTGGTTGTCACCTATACAAGTATGTTCTTTGTTAACATACAATGAAGTCAAAGAAGACTCAGGCTTCACAATAAAATCACATAAATTATCTGGATTTTTCATTTGGTACCCTCCTAAAATTTCATCCTCGTTCACATAACCTGGCTTTGCACATTTGACAATGTCCAGGTTTTGGTCTTTGGTTCCCACCTTTTCTTCCTCACTATATTCCCTAATATTCTTACTAAGATCTACACATCCATCTTGGTTTACATGGATGGCCTTAATAATTGAACTTTGGGTATCTGTGAGAAGGCTTGTAGTACAAGTAGAAGGGCACACTTCTTTATATCTGGGAGACATATCACTTAAATTTATATCATGATGGCAGGCAGAACTTGAAGGAACACACTCATCAACATCCTGCAAACACTCAGGATCAGAATAACAGATAGCTACACGCAGTGATTGTGGACGTCTGCGTGGCCACGAAGCAGGGAGGATATTGGGACATTTGGTTTGGCTCAAGAGAGTTACTGAAGAATTACTACTGCAGGAGTTGAATATCCCAGGAGGCACAGTATTGTTGACGGACACTTGGCAGTTGATGAGAGGCACAGACCCCACATCTGGATAAAGATTTGGACTAAAAGACAATGGAACTACTTGACAAGCACTATCTAAGTCATTACATAGTATCATTGTGTTTTTTGTTAAAGATGGTGTTGATGAGGTTAATAAGTTACTACCATTCAACTTTGGGTTTTGTCCACAGCCTAACAACACCGAATGAGATTTTGTATCGTTACCAAATTCTACCAGAGAGTTTACAGCACCTGAATGGTCATAATAAGTTGAGTTAGTAGTAATGATTGGAAATTGTAAAACTTTGTTATAAGAAATTTCCTTTTTTACAGCATAGTGTAATTCATTTCTTACCCTTTCATTTTCATTATTTGCATCACATACTCCATTAGACTTACAGATCAAAGGCTTCAGCTCCTCACAAGAGTCTGTCAATTCTACATTGGTTGGTTGGTTGGTTTCAATAATTTCCTCCAGAGGTGGGGAAGGCTGAAACGAATTGTAATTCTTATTTGGCTGTTTCTTTGCAGCTGTTAATAAATTATTTCCTTCTAGAACACCAGATGCTTCACTTGGGGTAGAAGTAACACTCGTGGCTCTGAGACAAGATAGTATTCCAACACCACTAACCTCTTCATTACTAACTGACCCAGAGAGAGTAATATCTGACATTCTTCTATTCACATATGCTTTACCTTCACCAATTTCTGGCTCAGGATGATGTTCTAAACACGGTACATTTTCATCATCTAAGAGTGCACTTCCTTCATATGAAAAATTAAAACAGCCACTCCATGGCCACTTGATACCATTGATTTCCTGTTGAATTTCACCTTCCACTGAGTCAGATATTTGGCTTGTGTTAATATTTTCCCTTCCAACCCCCCCAGAGAAGCAGCCAGCGGGCACACAGCTAGCCGACTGGGAGGGTATTCCTCAGGTAATATATGATTGTGACGATAATATGGCCTGCACATCATCGTTTGTTTGATCTGACTCCCCAATGCCACTGTACTGAGTCGGGGCTAGTGTCTCCACAGATACATACACCTGCAACAGTTTCAACACCATTACAATACTTTCAAATAATTAGAATATGAAAATAATAATATAAAACTTTTAAATAAAAGGTGAAAATTATTTATAACTAAAGGAGGCATTCACTTATCAAAAGGCAATGGTTCCTGAAGCACTATAGAAGAGCTATCTCACAAATATATAATTACCTATAAATACAATATATATATGTATGTATATCAAATGCATGTATCATATATAATAAGTGAGAACATCATCTCTACTCCCTTAATTTCATAATGTACTTAGGTAAAGATATAATATTTAACAATAACTGCAACACTGCCAAATAAATCAGCATTGAGTGTAATGAAATCCCAATTTCTGGTTGAGCCCTGGTGGCTCCCAGGAGCTACAATGCTGATAAAGTGCCAAACTACAAGATGCCATCAGTCACAGAGTTTTTTTTAGGCCTAACAGGGTCCATGAGCCAGAACCTGGCCCCTTCTAGTGACACTATAATAAAATTATCAGTGATTTTGAATCATGTCCACCACCCACTGGGGAAGCAGCCATAAAGTCAATACAACAAAACAGACCACTGTTGGATATAGGAAATATTGATATCTCAAAATTGCCATAAAAAAACTTCCCAATAATGTAAACAAATGATTGAAAATTCATGAAACTAGTGCAAGCTCGTTCGTAGCACGTCTGACCCCCTCAACTGGGGAAAAAGAGGGAGGTAGACCAGGTCAGCCGGCTAATGCTGACCATTCAAACCCTACAATGATGGTTTTCTTGGGGGAGTCTCTTGTGGCTCCCTGAAACTACTTATCCATAAAGAAAACAAGGGGACTTACCAGGGTGGAAGGAGTACCGCAGGTATCACAATGAAGAAGAAACCAGGAACCACGACACACCCAATGCCACACAAGGCTGCTGAGGACCAGGAACATTTACAATATACTTGGCTGCCAGGACCATGTTTGACCGCCAAAACCCCTGCCCCAGAATATCAGCTCAAGATTTATTGGCAAAGACAGCCTTCAGAGCAGCATACTTACAAACATCACGGGCACAAGGGTAGACCACAGGCTGGCTAGATTTAATGACACTGCAGACGACCTGAGAAATACGAGTCCTGGAACAGGGAACCAGGGAAACTGGATCAACCCACAAGGAGTTCTCCGAAGCAGAACCGGTGGCACGAAGGTAGCAGCGGAAAGCCGCCACCAGGCAAAGCGCATAGTGAACCATAGCCATACCAACCATGAATCCATGATCAAAGGACCCCCCTGAAGCCAGCCAACTCAATCTTTGCCAGAAAAGCAGCAGCTGGCTGCAACCAAACAAAGCGCCCACTAGGGCAAAAAGAACAAAACCCCTGCCCTGAAAGATGAGCACAAAGTTCACCTACCCGACAACCGGAGGCCAAAGAAATAAAAACCCAAGCATTAAAAAACATTCACGGACCTAAGGGGCCACGGTAAATCGAGCAAAGAAAAGAAAGAATCTAGTCAAGAGAGAAGGCAGGCTCAGGTGGCACATGAGCTGGCCAGAGGTGTAACAAAGCACGAGAAAGCTTGTGAAAAAGGGAAGAAGAGATGTCAATCTCGAAAGCAAGGTGGAGCGGCTCCACCAAAGCCGCCATGATAATAACGAGATGACAGTATTTGGCATAAAATGTCGCTCAAAAAGCAGTCAGAAAAGGAAGGGCAGAACAACTCGCACAGAAAGCAAAGAACAATGACGAAGTGACAGGAAATGGCAGAAGGAACACCAAGAGACGAAGACCACAGGTGGGACACCATTAACCCTTAGACAGCGGCTATGGAGAAATGGTCATACCAATTTATGCACAAAAAGTAATCAAATAAATTGAAATTTTTTTTCATTAAAGACATTCATTTCTACGCAAAAAGCATGAAAAACACAAAATCATTTGCGGAGGAACTCTGCAACGCTGTGTCTGGAACTTGTCAACACCTGGTGCTTGACTTTGCTGACACTTCCTGTTTTATCCTCGGATGTTTCACCGATTGTTTTATCACTTTTTTCTTTATTTACATCCACAGAGAGCTATTACAGTACATATATATAAATATTTGCATCATACATGTAAAACCCAGACATGTAACTGTTTAAATCAGCCTATGTCAATGACTGCATTCCCCTAGTAACATTTATAATAACTGCATTCGTACCATGAAATAATAGCAGGTTTTTTCATGGGTCAAGGTAAACTTCATTACATCCATACAGACCTATTACAATGGCACCTCGACTTACGATTGCCCCGACTTACGATAATTTCGAGTTACGATGTAAATTTCATCGAAAAATGCGACTCGACATCCGATGGTGTCGTCGACTTACGATATTAGTTGGTACACGTTCGGGTCGACCGAGCGCGTGGTTCCCGGTCACGCAGTCTGACCTGCCTCAGTTTACTACAGCTGCCCCGCTAAGTGACGATCGCGCCTATAAGAAATTCCGCGTTTGTGATGATTTTTTGCATTTTGAACATTAAAGTAATTATTATATATCACACCATGAGTCCCAGGAAAGTCAGTGGTAAGACTCAACATATAAGATCCCATGTAAGAATGACCATAGAGCAAAAACAAGAGATCATTCGTAAATATGAAGATGGTGTGCAAGTTGTTGAAATAGCTAAGCAGTATAACAAATCTCAGTCAACGATATCCACCATACTGGCTAAGAAAAAGGACATTATGGGTGCTAAAGTGGCAAAAGGCATATCAATAATCACAAAACATAGAACACAAACACTTGAAGATGTTGAACAGTTATTATTAATTTGGATACACAAGGAGTTAGCGGGTGATAGCGTTTCGGAGGCCATCATTTGTGAAAAGGCAAGAAAATTGCATGAAGACCTTTTAAAGAAAACCCCTGGAACGAGTGATGCAGAAGTGAAAGAGTTTAAGGCAAGCAGGGGATGGTTTGAGAAATTTAATAAAAGAAGTGGAATTCATAGTGTTGTGAGGCATGGGGAGGCTGCCAGCTCAGACAAACCAGCGGCTGAAAGATTCATTGGAGAATTTAAAGATTTTGTGCAGAGTGAGGTATACCTACCACAACAAGTGTTTAATTGTGACGAGACAGGGGGCTATTCTGGAAAAGATTGCCGAAGAAAACATACATTACCAAGGAGAAGTCATTGCCTGGACACAAGCCTATGAAAGATCGGTTTACTCTTGTGTTGTGTGGTAATGCGAGTGGCGATTTGACAGCTGAAAAAATTTCTTCAGGGGAGGATGTGCCAGTACAGAATGTCTCTTCCTCAACAATTAAGAAAATGTGTGCAGCATGGGAAGAATTACAAACCTTTGCTGAAACGACTCACCCAAATCAAGCTGCAGTAGGTCGTTGCCTTAACCTATTCAATGATACTGTGATGCATCATTACTGACTAACGTTAAAAAGAAGGGAAAAACAAAGGTCTCTTGACAAATTTGTAGTGAGACAAACAAGCACTGAACCACAACCAGGTCCTAGTGGTATTCAGGCAAAACGTAGGAGAGAGAGTACCCCAGAGAAAACATCACTGCCTGATGTGATAATGGAAGGGGACTCCCCTTCCAAACAGCAACAACTCTCCTCCTCCCCCTCATCACCATCTTCCATACGCCATCAAGAGCCCTCCATAAAGGTAAGATAAACTTAGGTACTGTATTGTAGTTAGAAAAAAACATTGTATTCAGTATAAAATGTATTTGTATGTTAATATTTTGGAGTGTGGGGAACGGATTAATTCAATTCCCTTTATTTCTTATGGGAAAAATTGCTTCGATTTACGATATTTCGACTTACGATCCGTCTCAGGGAATGGATTAGCATCGTAAGTCGATGCCCCATTGTATATCCATATTTGCATCATACATGTAAAACCCAGACAATAATTGTTTACATTTTTCTCTGATGATAATCGCATTACTCTGTGAATCAACAATTAACAATGTCCGCAGCCTAAAGGTTAAACCAGTCACATGATCACAATAAAGATGATGATAAATATGCGTAAAAATTCTAGACGCGGAGCGTGGAAAATAAGGCCGAACCAGCGAGGTATGTCACTCACCCAACCCTCTGAAAGAGGTAAAACTATGGAAAGATACCTGGGTTCAGACACTGAGTAAGCAACGCCTGAAACCAAGGCCTGGCTGACCACCAAGGAGCCAGAAGAATCACTTCGTCCCCATAAGATCCAATCGCGCCAGCACTCGGAGCAACAGCAGGACCCGGGGAAAAGAGGTAAATGAACCCTATTTTGACCAGTCCAGCCAAAGGGCGTCCACTGCAAGGTACATGCAGTCGGAAAAAGACGCTGTGTAAAGAGGTAGATGCCAAGGCCACACCGATGCAAAGAGGTCGACATCTGGTGCCTGAACGCCCGGCAAAACCAGAGGAAGGAAGCAGCGTCGATGGTCTATTAAGTTTAAAGAGGAAGGAAGCGAGACAGACTGTCAGCCAGGACATTGTTCCCTGAATGAGCATGGCATGAAGATGCAACCCCGAGAACTCAGCAGATGAGGTAACTGAAGTGACCAGCTCCAAAGAGCCACAGACTGACGAGACCCTCCTCCTCAGGTTCAAACAATGAGCTACTGGAGATCCTATTGGACCCAGATAACTCCCTGCAAACTCCCATACTGTACTATGCACCAGATGAAGGGAAGGATGCCATCTACCCTGGCCGGACTGGTGAGTGCTGGCCACAAAGCCCCAACCGACAGCAAAAGTGTCTGTAAAGACATCGAGCAAGAGCAGAGGAAGATGCCAGGGCACTGAATCCCAAACAACCCGAACAGGAAGCTCATTACACACAGGAATCACAATAGTGTGATGCATCAAATGAACAAATCCACAAGTGATTTGTGGATTAATTTGATGCATCATGCTATTGTGATTTCTGTGTGTAATAAAGGGTGAAAAGGTAAAACAGCTTATTGGCAGATCCCGGGTGCACGTGGGAATTGTGCAAAACCCTGGTTTGTGTCTCAGAG